AAAAACGATGCATAGGAATTTAACACTACAAAGACTCGAATCACCGAAACCAGCTAAAGTAGCTTATCTACGATAAGTCGAGGAGACGCTCGAGATGGGAAGTTCGCGAAATGCTCACGCTGAATTGCGAAATTGCGGGACAGATTATTGGCTTGCGAAGTTGGGTGAGACTGCAGGCCGAGGGTGAGCCGGGTAGGCAAAGAACTTTTGGCTCGATGCGTTGTTGCCGGACAAACTCTACTCGTAGGTGCAGCCAGCATTAGCCTAACTCCGTAGCAAACTAATCTAACATTCGTCCGAGCTTCCTCGCTCCAACCACCTTCCAGCGAGCGAATGAGCTATTCTCCCCAGCTTTTTCTCTCCCTTTCTCTCTCTCAAAAACTCATTGCTACATCCAAAACTTTTTGAGTTTCGCTTCTCTTTAGAAAAAAAACACAAAACAAAAAACAAAAAAATGCTCCTGAACATCTTCCTCGTTTTCCTCACTATTTATATATATATATATATATATATATATATATATATATGTATCTACATTCTTTTCAATTGTAAAATAATCTTCAGCTAACGTAACACTTTTCATCTTAATAATATGAATCTTTTTTATAATAAAATAAGCAAAAAAATTGACATTTATTTTATCTTAAATTTGAATTTTAACTTTTAAATCTGTTAATAGAATAAAAATTTGCTTCATAATGTTACCAATTTTGCTCTTTAGCGTATAAGTATTAGTAAAGGATATTGTAGGCTGAATTCCATCGTAGGTGATGTCACCCGAGTTGCAATCGCTAGCTCGGTCGTTGCTGTCCATCCTGAGGTGTCCGTAATCCGGACTGCCGTGCTGGGCTGCCGCCAGTAGAGCTGGATGCAACATAGCCGGCGGATGGGGCAGTGGAGGAGAATCCCTGAGTTCTACACCGCCACCCGGAGGACTCGCGGGTAAATGATGTGGCCCCGGAGGTGGTACTTGACCAGGATGACTCGCGTGAGGATTGAAGAACGGCGAATAGGGCGAGAACACTTGACTCTCGTGGAGACTTGGATTTGGTATCGCTACACTGGTTGGCAGGGATACCGGCAGCATCGGTGGTGGCGCATGGTAGGGTCTCGGTGGTGGAGGAGGCGGGGGGCTATCACTACCTCCTTGCGATCCGGTCCCTTCTTGCGCTAGGATTCTGGACACCGTCCTCGGAGTAATTCTCGTATCCGTCACCTGTAAAGCGTACTAATTAGTATTTCTTTTTAGGCAGACTTTTCACAAGTTTTTTTCTGTTTTTAGATTAATTATTAGATATTTATGTAGCGATATAAATTAAGTCTAACAAATAGAAATAATGATACAAAATTAACAAATTTATTTTTCTCGCTATAATTTTGTTGATTTTTATTTATATAGTTCTATCTATTTATATAGTTATATCTTGAACATTTTGGATGACTTGAAATTAATATCTTTCGTGTATGCATGATAAGAAATTAATTTGTATATTTACATTAATATATCAATTTGTATGTATAATTATATATAAAATTTTAATTAATAATATTCAAAATTTTGTTTATATATTTTATTTTTATATCAACTTTTATATCAATTTAATAAACTTTGCAATATGCTTACCTTATGACGTTTTTTCTTTGGCGTCATGACAAGTGACAGGGCTTCGTTTTGCTCCGAATCTCTATTTTCTCTCTCGTCGTTTCTCATATTGCAATATTGGTCGCGTTGTTGTTGCTCCCTTTGCTGTTGTTCGCGTTGCTGTTGGTGCTGCTGTTGGTGTTGTTGTTGCTGCTGCGCCTGCATGGAGGCCATGGCGTATATCGTCGGCGGTTTTGGCGTCTGAAACATTCCAACGCCCGGCCTCCCATGCGAAGGCAGCTGATTCATCTGATTAAGATTGTTTTCCGTGGGGCCAGCATGAGGACCATGGGGCACACCACCTATGGACCCGATTTGCGAGAACCCCGTGGGTTGTGGAGGAGGGGGCCCACCGTTGAGGGGCCCCCGTGGCCCGTTTGGGCCACCGGGTGGTTGCGGAGCTCCTCTATCAACTACTTTCGTCCTGGGTGATTTTCTCTCGAGCATTTGACTCGCCAGAAGAAGGTCCTTGTTCAGCTGCTCGGCGGCAGCCTGCGCTGCCTCGGTCTGCTTACCGATATACCTCCTCTGCTGTACAAACCTCGCGACTATACTGTCGATCAAATTGGTTAATGAAGAGGTTATTTCCGTCTTCAAGATATCCGCTAAGCCTTCTAAATCGGCTCCGGTGATATGAGGACCAGACGAACTGGCTGCCGCAGCGGCACCCCTGAAGACGTTTAACCTTTCCTGGAAGTCTTTATGTTGAATAGGCGTGTTGGCTGGTTGCATCTGCGGCGTCTGCGGCGTCGGGGGTCCAGTGTTATTCTGGCTTTGTGGTTGAGGCTGGCTCGGTGGCGGTGGCGAATTTTGTCGTTGATGTTGTTGCTGCTGCTGTTGCTGCTGCTGCTGCTGTTGTTGTTGCTGTTGCTGCTGCCTCGCGGCCGCTTCTTGATGTTGTTTCATTCTCTCGATAGCAGCGTGCTGTTGCTCAAAGTAGAGTTTATGGCCCATGTGATACATAGCGGCAGCTGCTGCGTGGGGATGATCAGGTGGAAGAGCTGGGAGGCCGTTATACGGCGGTGGATGAGGTCGTGGCGGTCTAGGTGGTGGTTGCGGTTGAGGCTGAGGTTGAGGACTAGGTGGTGCGTCGCCGCCGCTCTCGCTTGTATCTGGTTCCATTCTACTAGAGAGCTCCATGTATTTTTGTTGCATCTCCGCCAATTGCTCGTGCAACATCTTCAGCTGAATCTTGAGATTATCTTTCTCCTCCCGTTTCTGTCTGATCGTCGTCGGGTCTTCCTCCTCTTCGCTCTCGTCATCATCGTCTATCATGGTATCGTTGACGGTATGCTGGAGAACGTGATGCACCGTCTGTTGTTGAGGTTGATAGAGCTTGCGCTTCTTACAACCGTTCACCGTTGCCGGCTGAAGCGCCGGGCTACTGCGCATCGTGCTGACGATGTTTTCCACGCGCGCGCGTTTAATCTCCGTTGTCGGAGAGTTCGTCTCGGTCTTTGGCACGATCGGACAAGGAGAGTGACTAGGGCTACGTTTGATATTTAGCGACTCTTGTATCTCTTCCTTGACGGAGACAGAGCCCGACCTTGGTGCCGTTGGGCTAGGAGGTAAGCTCTGCTCGCAATCCGATCCGTCCAAGTTCGCTCCTGGTTCCATACCGGCTTCGGCAAAAGCCTCTTCCATGGCGCGTGCCGCGGAGGCAGCATCCTCAGCGCTGTCTTCAGCATCACCCGGCATCACGGTATCACGGTCACTGTGATTCGCGCTATTTACGACGTTATTGCCATCACCACTCTCTTCCCCGCCACTCTGCACTGTTCCACTGCGCGCACTATCACTATTTTGTTGTTGATGCTGCTGGGGACTCTGCTGATGCTGCGATTTAAGTAATTCCGCGGTAGTGTTATTATTGTTGTTATTATGTATACTGTTGTTATTATTGGGCTGCTCTTGCACGCCGAGAGCGGAAAGCTTACGGCCCTGCAGTAGCATGTCGCGGAGCATGTGCTGAGTGAGATCAGCCGTGGCGGGGTCGTCGCAATTAACCACGGCACCCGGTTGTAAATTCGAGGCGGGATCCATGCCGGCACCGGTCATCCCGTGACCGCCCTCTGGCGGTGATCCGCCAGCGTCACTGGCCTGTTTGACCTGCCGTCCTAATAACTCGTTCAGCATCTTGGCGGGGCCGAAACCCGGAGCCCCGAAGAAGCCGAAGGCCGCGTGGGCGGAATGCTGCTGGGTAGTAGGACCCGTCGTAGCTGTACCTAAATGACTTTGACTGCCAGTTGCTCCAGTCTGCTGCTGGAGCTGTTGTTGCTGTTGTTGCGATTGCGACTGATGGTGTTGCTGCTGCGACTGTTGTTGCTGTTGTTGCTGCGGCTGTTGATGCGAGGGTGGCCCGCTACCACTAAAGATCGAGCCGTATAGACCACCACCGAGGAAGGATGGCCTGGAGCTAAAGTTCGGTATACTCGAGTAGCTGTTGCGCGGCTCGCCGGCGTCCACGCGCTGTCTGGTGCGCTTCTGCTTCTTCAGAAGTTGCTGTTGCTTGCTTTCCGTGGTTGCTCCGTAGAGGGCGAAACACTCGGTCTCCTCCTCCGATGACATCATCGGCCGTCTGGTTGGTCGGCCCCCCAAAGGCCTCCGCTTCCCCTCCCCGCCAGGGCTCCTTGTCACCCCTCCCCTTCTCGCTCGAATAGCCCCTCGTGGCTCAGCGCGCTGCTTCGCCTTCTGCACTGTGTAGTCTCTCCAGCTCCCCTACTACAGCTGCCTCTTTCTCTGCGTTCCTTCTAGCTAATACTCCCCACTTTGTTTGCCACCAACCACCCCTCTCTACTTCCTTTGGCTTCGCCGTCTCCTTCTCGATCTTCTTCTCCTTCTCTTCGTGTTCCGTTTCCTCCGCCGCCGCCGCCTCCTGCTGCTCTGTCTTCTCCGCCGCCGCCGCCGACGACGACGACGTCGGCACCCTTCTCTTTTCCTACAAACTCCTGCTTCCTCCTCTTCTCCTTCTCTCGCGCCTCTTCTTCTTCTTCTTCCGTCGTTCCTCGCTTTTTCTGTGCTTTCTTTTCACTATTCCTCGCCCCGCACCTTCCGCCGTGGAGATGACGCCAACGACTGAAGCTGCTGCTCGGTGACGAGATGTCGGCCGTCCGCTCTCGTCTCGGGATGGCGGGCCTTTTTCGAAAGGGTCGATTCGTTATCGGATCTGTATCCGCTGCTGTCGTGCTTCTTACTACTTTTACTACGGTGATTGTTGTAACCGGGACCGCCGCTTCTGCTGCTCTTATTATTGATGCGTTTATACCCGGTAATCGTTGCGATGTTGTTGCCGTTGGTGATATCCAGAACGGAAGCCGGTGCTCTCGCGAACGGAATCCTCGTGCTCCCGCCTGGGAGCTGCATCCTTCGAGCTCGCCAAAGGGCTAAGTGCCCCTCGCTCCCTCGTCTCGATTTTCGTGGCCGCAATTCTCCGATACGTCTGTAACCAAAAGATGACAGTTCATCTTAGCGATCTATGCCGACTAAACGAATGTCGAGTGTCGCTCGTCTATATATATAATAAGAGAATCGATTCACACAGCACAACAGTAATAGCACATCGTAGATTATTTTAAGCTCTGTATATAGACTCTCACTTCCGTAGATAGGAAATACTCGCCAGTGTGTACACTTGTCATTTCCCTTCTTATTACGAGCTTGTAAAATAAAAAATGTAAAATATAAGCTACTACAGATGCACTTTTAGCATTAATTTTCGTAATCGTGATTTGTTGCTTATTATTTCCCGTGCATACTTTGCGTGCGAATTATACAGACGTGCATTTTATTTTACTTTCTTAAATATTCTGTCGTGTCATTGTACGTGCATGCATATTACCACAGCTTCTTTTTTTTTTAAAAAAAAGGAAAAAAGAATTGTAAAAAGAAATTTCCCACTTTTTCAAACTAGGATATCCGATGAAAAGATATACGAGTTCATTGTAAGATGACGTCATGTTACGAACGCAAGAAAAAAAATGCACATACAAAGTGCTATCGGTTAAAAATACGATGATCGACCACGACGACGACGACGGTGACAAAGAAGAAGAACAGAACCGCGGGTGACAGTTGCAAGCAATGTGTTTCACCCTCGTCCGAACATTCTGCGGTCGCTAGAAGCGAAAACTCAAAGTATAGTGAGTTACGAGGGGGTTAGACGAAGAAGGGGGTGGTTCGCCTGAGAAGCGGCCATAAGAAAATTACTTGCGTTGAATATCTTATTCGATACATAAGCAGTTCCGCCTAGAGTGGTCTCTCTTCGTCAGCGGATGCATACCGTCGTCGGTCGATATCTGGCGAAAGAAAGGGGCACAAAAAGTAATTGATGGTTCGTTCATTGCGCGTTCGATCATAGACCAAGCCCATCATGGGTTGCTTGAATGAGAAGAATAGAATCGAGCCTACGTCTCTCTTTGTTTATGCAATCAATCTTTAACTTTTCATTTCGTTTATAAATTTACAGTAATGCTAATTTTATTTGTATTTAAAAATTATAGCACGGTATAAAGCATTGTGTCATTATCTGTACAATTATTTATTCTACACGAAATATTGCAACAGAATTCTGTTGTAGCTTACACTCTCATAATCGCTCTTTATTCGTCAATGATATGGCTAGTTAGAAGCTTCGATCGTCATGCAGTTCAATTGATTCGCTGCGTATAAGTGCGTAAGTGAGACGGTTGTGTAACTGCACGTATGCATTACGGAACAGAGCTTGAATACAATACTCGAGCACGTGTTCGTGCACACATACGTGAGATTCGAAGCAACAGCTGAGCAGTTTAAAGCACCTGCGCTCAATAAGCCGACAATATTCCATAGTTCGCCTACGCATAAACTCCCTTCGAGAATACCTTGATATTCATTCCAATACATATAAAGAAAGAAATGGAAAGAGTTTACAGTAAACAATGCTTAAGATATCTCAAACAACAACTTGATGAAAATATATTTCATGAATAAAAAGTCAAAAATTTATTATTTTTTTTACTTCTGCTAAAGTCAATGTTTGACAAACATTGATCTAAAGATTTATGAAAATGTATTAAAAATGTCGAAAATGTCTTATACGACAACTGTCGCAAAGAGATCTTTTCTTCTTACTGATAAAAAATTGCTGAACAGAAAGGCAAATTGCTGCAAGGCGAGCAAATACGCGCATGTAATTGAAGTACCATCGACGTTCTTATTGCGCACTTGAATCACTATTACGTAAACGTTCAATTACGACAAGTTAACGCGTTCTCGAGCGCTTCCTCGAAGAGGAGCGATCCGTTCCGAGAAATTACTAGGCAGTTCCGTTGGCAATTACTTTAGAGGGGCGCAGCGCTTGCTGCAGGGCTCGTTACTCCAGAAGTGACATATGGTGTCGACCTCGATAAGGTCTACAGGACGACGACGATCGTACCTGGATAGGAAGGGACGCTTCGAGGGGGGTCGGATGGACTTCTGTCTTTCCCATTTTTGATCGGTACTTCCCCGTGTGCTGCCATGCGTGGGATGAAAAGGGGAAAACAAAAAGGTGCCCTGCCGGAAATGGCTTCAGGAACTCTCCCATACTGTTGCGTCGATTCGGAAGTAAACATGACGAGCTAATTACACGTGAGCAACATGTTCAGGAAGGCGAGCGCAGAAGGCACGAACAAGATCTTATTGCTACTACCCGATTTTTGGCATTTTCAAATTCAAATATAAAGTTCTTTAATTTTTCTCAGACGATATAAACAATCTTAAAGTAAAGGTAAAAATTTTTAAATATACAAAAATATATATTATTATTGTTGTTGTATGAGAATCGGTGAAATGCGTGAAAGAAATGTACGAAAATGTATATTAATTATGTATACGCAAGCACAGTCATTTTTAATATCGTAAAATCAGCGATTATTAAAGCACAAGAAATACACATCGACAAGTCACCAATGACTATTTCCTGTGCGTCATACGATATTTATCATTTAAGCAGGTGGGTAGATTTCAAAGCGTGATTATAGTGCATAGTGATAGGGTCCGCAAGTAATACGTAGGATAGTTAACGCATGGGGAGCCCTCGATAGAACTTCAAGGTGATAGTCAATATTACAACGATGAGCGATCGTTTTCCTAAGTAGATGACGACGTATAAAGAATCGTGATTCGAGTAACGAGGCAATATAAGCTACGACTTACAACGCCACGATTAAATTTGATAGAAGAGAAGAAAAATACTGGAAGAAAAAATTTCGCGATATCCTCGCATACACGCGCGGCGCAATTTTTAGTATCCCCCTAGGAAACAACATTGACGAAATGGAAGGAGATAGTTGCCGCGCGAGCATCACATGGTGTACGTACCCCACATGGCGTCGTAGAGGTAACATAGCAATGGCATGTGCATCGGAATTCCGCCCCCTGTAAGTGTCATGTGGTGAGAGTGCTCGCAGGGGGTTGCTGCATGGGAACTCGACTGTGGTCATCAGTCCATGTCCATCGCGCGTATATACACGCATTGCCATCGCTTAGACGTATATATAGACATACGTATACATGATTTTACCCTCCCGATATATAAAATTATTGTAACAATTCGTTTCGTCATTATGCTTACGACAATAGGGGGATAGGCATACCACCCTCGCCGGCAACACGCATCCCACGACCGCACAAACACGTACGTCCGTACGCACGCGGTCTTGGCTAAGCGTACGCAAACGTGTACACGCGCACACGTGCAAGCGAAATGTACGCTGAGGCTGAGGTACTCATACACGCGTCGTGTCGAGGTACGCACACCGGGGCGCACTGTATGTACGTACACACACGATTCACACGCGTTCAGCATATTATCGGCCTGCTCTGATGCAACAAGTTGACCGGGTGTCAATTGATGTGTTATTAATTGGAGGTTAATTGCGTTAATGCGCTGCCGACCCCGCCTCTCTGTCGTCTACCCGCTCTCTCCCACCCCCGACGCCCACCGCACCCGCCTTCAACGAGCCCCACTGTTTTATTATTATTTTGCATTCGAATCGTTTCGATTCAACACACACTGGCACGCGCCCAAACCAAACTGGTGCGAGAAGGAGAGCGAGAGCGCGCGAGAGAGAAAGAACGAGAGCCGAGCTGGGAGGTCGCGAGCCAGAAAGAGCGCGAGAGAGCATTTAAAAGCGGCGGCCTGTCACCGATTTTCATAATTCACAGCTCGTTAAATTTGTTTCGCTTTTTGCCCCGCTTTTCGCGGTTACGCGCCCCGACGCCATTAATCTACCTTCGGTCGTTTTCAATGAGTTTAATCGCGTTTCAAAAACAATGTGGGTCAACGCCACGCTTGTGTTATTCCTGACACGTGAGCATGACCTTCTCGCCGTTTTCATTTCGATTTCGGTTCCCATTCATGCTGTTATAGATACTACGCGATAATGAGCACCAGTTTTTTCAATGTTTGTCATGTTTGCGCGTTATTCAAGGTGTTGCGCGTTTTATACCGCATTGCACGAAGTTTATGAAGGCGAGAAGGGAGAAATTCTATAAAAGAAAACAATTTAAGATATATATACAATATATAAGCTAAGCTTCTCACTCTTTCCCTTTCTCTATCTTTATAAATTTTAATTATTTGTCTGGAAATAGATATTAGTAGCTTTTTATTCATATTTTGATAGAAATATTAAAATTCCATTTCATGCTTAATGAGATAGATAAATGGATTCGAGAAATTAAAGAAATGTGAATAATTCACGATTCAATTCATTTCTTTCATTTCCAAGTCAAGGGCCATCAGAGAAATGCAATCGCAAATCTTTGAGACGTCTGCACGACTTTTCTTCGATATATTCCCATGACTTCTCGCGGTGGGAAACGTTAACGTCTGATATTGAAGGCTACAAAAACTCCTGCGACGCCCTTCGTCCTCCCTCGGAAAAGGAAGTAGGAACAACGGTCCTTGCCCTCAGTGGCGTGGACAATAAATTGTAGCATTAAAATCGAAAGTTGTGAATTTATGTAATTTAAAATAATCGCACTTTTGTTTAATGATTTATTATATTAATTAACGGTTTGTACGATCAATTACGCTGGCCAATTTCACTTCTGTATTTATATTTATCTACGAGTATCGTATAAAACTAAAATCAATAAAGCTTGTTAAAGCCGCTTATCAGTTAAATTTCATTAATTTAGACATCGTTAAAAATGCATCATTTATGCTTGATTTATATATAAAACGGCGTTTGTAAATAATAAAACAATTGTCTAATAATTTGTTATACAAATAAGCTAATTGTTTAAATTTAATTGTATTAAATTAATTGTTTTTTCATAAAGAAGCTTGTATAATAGAGAAAAATGCAGTAAAATTAGACAAGAGAAATAAAATATCTTTTATGAATGGAAAATCTCAGCGAATTGTAATTGAAGCATTCGGTAAAGCCAAGAAGCTCCCCTGTTACCGACGAC